GAAACAATACGAAAGAAGTAAGTAATACTACTTTATTATTATTATTATTATTATTATTATTATTATTATTATATTATTATTATTATTATTATTATTATTATTATTATTATTATTATTATTATTATTATTATTATTATTATTATTATTATTATTATTATTATTATTGTTATTATTATTATTATTAATTATTATTATTGTTATTATTGACATTGTTATTTGAAGTATTCTTCTGAATTAAATGGATTTTAAAACAGTTGATTTTGTTTCTTTTATTTCTCAAGTGTGAATGTGAAATTTTCAGACAAATAAGCGATACAGTAACAAAACTAGTTTCTTACCAAATTATGCAAAGCTTGTTTGAAAATCAAGCCTGGAAAAGATAGCAGTTTGAAAAAATGACAAAGTACTTTTTCATTTGTAGTAGACATGATTACACGTACGACTAGGGAAGAATGTTTCACTTAATGTTAGTAGTCAATAAGAGAAGGGAAAGGATGATAATAATTAAGATTCAAGATTCCTAATAATCTCCGAAAATGGAAAAATAAGTGATACAAATACAAAATAATAGCCAAAATGTACTGAAATAATTGGACAGGAAGTGATAAGTGCCAAGAATTAAAGACAAATCGGTCCACTCAATAACTTTATAAAATAGCCATTCCTTCACTTTCTATTCCACTTCAAATATTCTGAAAAAAAGTGTCATACTTTTAAAACGGAAATTTTCTCATTCATTTGGGTCAAAATGCATGACAAATCTTCGTTATTTTGATTACTGCAGTGATAATCGATTGTTTTGAAATGACTGAATTAAGAAACGAAGTGATAAATAGGCAAGAATTGGTATCCTTACAGAATTTTACCCATTTTGTGGATTTGCATCCGCGTTGCAGGAATAAAATTGACCCGAATTCCGGGTATCACAGATTTAACATATTTAATATGTCATGATTCATCCTTGGGAGATATATCCATCCATATTTGATATCTATCTTCTTCATCTGCTCAATTCAATTCTGCACCCCAAAATAGCTTTTATTTCACTATTTTATCTTTCTTCACTTCAATATATACTGAAGTATTCTTGCGTTCACAAAATTAATGCTCCTTTGTTGTAAACAATTTGTACGTACGTACGTGTTCGTATGAGCATATGTTTGAATGGATTAAGTATTTATCCGTTTGTAAGTGCGCTTACGTATCCACGTGAAATAAACTTAATTAAATACAAGAATCTAAATCTCTACTTTCAAAGAAAGTCAACGTTTCAGAGGATGTTTTCGAAACTAATTTTGCTGTCATTAATTACTATCCTTGGATTGGGCACAATCTGCAGAGCAGAGGAGGAAAAGGTTCTGCATTTTCTCCTTTTCTCCAAACAAGATGTATTGTTTTTATTGCCTAGGATGCTCAGGTATTTTGAGAAGTGACATTACTAGCTGATGGATCTCCACAGGTCGACAGTATCATGTATGCTTAAGATATCTTGTCAGTTTTCTAAACTCGGAACCAATGTCTCCCCCTCCCAGTCTTCCCAAATTATTGGGTAATTTTGGCAATAAAGTAGAGACATTTCACAACCATCCCGCTTAACAATATTATTATGATAGGGGAAATGTGGTCATCCTGAAACGGATTACAGTCCATGTGTCAACAGGAGTCGAGCCGACGTACTATTCCGCCAATGTTGCGAACTATACGTACCAGAAGGATGCCATACCTTATGTCAGTACGAAATTGAAGATGTTCCAGCTCGAAATTTGGTAAGAATGAATTATTTATTGACTTATTGATATACTTGTTTAATAATAAAATGATATGAAGAAGTTACCATGGATATCCAGTGGTGAGGATAGATAGTAATGAATATTTAAATGTTAATTATTATAAAATAAATTATTATTCACTTGCTTATTTTTTCCAATCAAATCAGTTTACTCTTTTTAAACATAAATTCATAACATCCAGCAAATTTACTGTAATAAATTTCTAGCTAATGAAAGCAATTGCATCTAGAAAATGTGGTCTGAAACATATCAGTGCTGTACTATATTGCGCCTCACAAAATCAGGTAAAAATCAAATCGGTTACTGCTAAAATTTTATTGATCAAATAATTCTTATTGTGAAAAACCATGGAAGCGGTGATGTAAAAAGAAAAATTCATCTCAAATTTCAAATTATTTTTCGTTTAATTGAGATCCATTTAACTTTATGTATCGCTTTTTAAGAGCATTTTTGAATTTTCAGAATTTCTTCCCTCCTATTTCTTCTACAAAACAGTATCATTTTAAAAATAACATAAGCACGTGGTACTAACTTTCAATGAACTTTCAGTAAATTCTAACGTATAAATCTTTCCAGGCATTAAGATAGACTATTTCCGCATCAAAAGTTTTAAGAAAGGTGCCAGTTAAAGGAGTTAATGCTATCAATACTAAAAAAAAACAAAAATAGGACATGCCTGAGCTCATAATCCCTTGAGCAGAGTTTTCTTAGACCGGCTCTTCATTTCAGGATAATCGCAAGTGTTGTAACCACTTGAATTTAGCGGACAGTAAGCTGGGTGTTGGTGATCGTTGTTTACGATTTTGTGATCCAGCAGGACAAGGCATTAATGCTATCAGTAGGAATGATGCGACGTGTCTGTTTAACTTGAACGTAATATTTTACTGCCATCAAAGTGGTATCCCATTAGATTGAGTTAAATCTTATTTTCTAATTTAAAATTAATCTCATTTAAGAAACATCGGACCCTCTGGTAGCATGAATTTTGTGAAAAAATAATTTTAACCGTAGGATGCATTTCATGATAAGCAATTAATGATTTAATCGATTCGATTAGTACTTTGCATGATGCATACTATGTGTTTGTAAAAATATTTAAACTGCATTTTATTGTAAATTCCCAAATGATTATTGTATTTTTTTTAGTTTCTATGCATCCTTTCAGTATAAACCGACAAATAGTCTCCAAATTTCGATATGTCACCAGGACATCAGAATTTCAAGTAAATGAAAGATATAATTAATTAAAGCTAATTTATTAAACAGGAAGAAATACATAAAATACGTCCATTAGACATCAAAAATACAGCTCAATTGCTAACATATCTCGTCGATATTTTCGAACTTTTCCGGCATATAAGTTTTATAAATTTCTTTAGTGCAGAATTATGTGCAAGTGAATACTTGAAGCAATACTTTAACGGTCATGATGACACTTCAATAATTTTGAAAATATCATCCCGACCAACGATTTGTTTCAATTATTATGTAATATGGAAACAATATGGGTAGAGTAAATGAACCATAATATCATTTATTGGATAATGAACAACAAATCGTACAAGCCTAAGTCATATACTCCCAAAATGTATTGGCATACCCTACAAAGGACGATGTTAAATTGTCAAAGATAGCAGAATAGAGACTTTATTTATCGGACTTTTAACGTTATTTACAGTTTTGGAACAAATTGATAAATCTAACTGACCAAAACATCGGGTCGCCTGCCTCTCAGTTCAAGCTAATTTTCGGTCTTCCTCTTAAAAATATATTTGATAATTTCAGCATAAATGACATTCCCCTGCTTTTTCCGTCCACATGACACCATTGAAACCAACTGAAGACGGAATTTCACTGCCAATGAAGGAAATCACCTACTTCTCCTGCCATATAGAGATTGAAATAGCAAAAAAAAATCTACCGGATATGGATCCCAAACTCTGATAACTAGAAAGCTATACATGACCTATGCCTGTCCTTTTGATTCCTTTTCTTCATTTTCCCAGTCAACTTTACTTTATTATTCTTGCTAATAAGTGTCGGACGTAGAATTTCTTGGTAACTTTTGAGTTCTAAGTTAGGCTTTGTTTTCGTTATATATGTTCTGTAGTTTTACCGAGATAACCAAAAACTACAAGCATTATTATTGTTGTATCACAAATTGGATTTATAACAGCAACGACGATTATCTCATTTTATGTTAAACAAAGGGAAGTAAGATTCAAAAAATGATGAAAACAATCGTATTACTCGCGTGATGTTTTATAGTAAAAACAAACTGGCCATGATATCAGACATATACTCGTCGTTTGGATGCAAGCAAACAAACAAAAAAATAGCGGTTGGAATCAAAAGTCACATCTGCATAAGTACAATCTTTTCAACTTGAGTGAAAAATAGAAGACTGAACCACCGACATCAGACGAGCAGGATAAAAATCACCAGAAATAATAATTTGCACAGGGAAACAGTAATAAGCGCATGAATGTAAACTAATACTTCCGTAAAGGATGAATCTATAACAAAGAAATGCAAAATATGAACTCGGAAAACAGTCCCGAAGAGGTATATATATATACCATTAACATCAAATGTATCCCAGGTGTCATAACCTGAAGACCAATTTGCGCTGACTCCGGAACTATCGTTGCACCAAAATAGCTAATGAAATCTAAAAGCAGTGTTTAGTCTTTTAAAATAATCCTATGCGCGCCTCCTTGTCATCTATTAGAGTACGAGAGAATACTGCTATCAATCTGAATTCCATATCTAGAGAAAAGATGTCTTAATTTTGATATGAAGTAGACAAGGACTGTATTCAAAAGTCGACTGTAATTCAAAAGTCAAGTCGCAAATATTAGAGAAATTTGAAATCTGGTTTCTCTATCCAAAAAATTTCGCTTAATTCATCATTGAGCCGCAGGGACTTCGAATGAAAACTTGTAAAGTTGGTATATTCGTTAAAGTAAACAATCCTTTCACAAACACCGGCACATCTGTTGAATTTCCAATGAACGAAATCTACAGGACACATTTTAAAAATACATAATTCTTATGTTACATGAATATTAAAAGTCTGTGAGCAGCACTATTTTCAGATGTTTTGACACGTTTCCAATTTTCATTAACGAACAAATGTGCTGCATTTTCTTACACAGAAAATACGAAATGTCAGCTTAACTCGATTCATAATGATGGGCAAACCGCATCCAGAGAATGTTCGGAGGATTCTATACAAGAGACAAAAATTATTTTTAACCTACAAATGGCTTATAACAAGAAATCAGTAAATGCTTAATTCAAACGAGAAACTATATCAAAACCTACTATCGGGCTCAATACAATGAGAGTATGGATAACTGAAATTATTCTACAAGAGTAATCTGTTAACGAAATCGATCAATAATGAGCAAAACGGTACCGGAAAAGAACTTAACTGGATGCAGCGGTACGAGAACTACTCTAACCTTATGAAAAGGTGGACAGCTCTCAACAGCTTGACCTGGAAAAATAAACAAATATGCATACATTTGGCGTAACAAATAATAGAGAGAACACACGTAAGAATAGAACCAAACATTCAAGAAAAGAAACGCTTTTGCCAAAAATGCTTTAAATGATAAAAATAAGATAAAATGCTACGAAAGAGAAGCAGATTACGCAATAAAAAGTAAATATAATATAAACGCAGAGAAAAAAATTCAAAAGGCACATGAAAAAAAATTCACGGAATCAAGAACAGCGATAACAGAGAGCCAACTTTTAAAGAAGCATAGCACTCTTTTAGCTAAAAAGACGAAAATAAAACTTACAAAAAAAATATATCTTAAATACAAGGGTACTATTTCGAAATTATGTTTTTGGAAAATTATGTAAATTTTGCGCTTCAAAAGTCCAAAAGACCACGAACTTATAATTTCATTTCCTTTAGCTGTTACTGAGTTTTCAGTGTCGATTTTCATCAGAAAAAAAAGTGAAAGAATGAGTTGCAAAAAGGCAAATCGCAATAAACCCGCTGAATTATTTTACCTGAACAAAAAATCAAAAAATAATAGGAGTTGAAAAAAAAGGAAAACAAGGAAATGACTACTCTGTATCAAGAAAGACTTCTGAGGCAAAAAAGGCAAAAAAGCGAATCGTAGCGTGATACTGAAATTGAGAGGCCGAACCGAAATGCACAACTAATGTAATGAATTATTCTTTACGAAGTTTCTGGCGTCGATTACAGAACCATACACGAACTACCTGGAATGAATGAGCCAATTTAAAGAAAAACGGAAGCTTTATAAGATATCGACGCAAAAATAAAAATAACAGGAACTGTACATAGTCATCATGATGATCGTGATATGGACTGGGAATGCCGAATATCAAACCATTACGGGGAGTTATGCTTTAACGAACCACAATCACTCCAAACGGTTGCTATCCTTAGTGAAACTAAATGAGTTAATTCACTAGGGATAGCTTCTAACTGAATGTAGTCCTGTGCAGCAATTAACAATGATAACTTACATCTCGATCTAGCCCTACTAATTCTGCGATTTCAGCCATCCGATCATGATCTGGACGTGGGTTCATGTCAAAGTAAGCATCCAGTGCAGAACGCTGTGCTAGATCCAAGTTAGTTCGCTTTCGACGTTTTTTCAGCGGGACACCACCACCAGCGCCTGAACTGCACACAATGGATCCATTTGGTGACGGCGGCTCGTCGCTTGGCATTTTGTTACCACTGTTTACACTGACGTTCACTACAGAGCTCGGTTTGTTATTATTCAGTGGCAAATGTATCACCGATGTCGGGTACTGAAAAAAAATCTCCATTAGCTTTACAGCTAGCAAAACATCCTTTCCTTCAAAACAACTTTTGGATCCTTGGTGAGGTGATTATCAAGCTTAGTATTCAAACAGAAATATTTTCCCGCAACAACAAAGTTCTGCCTAAACTTTATTCACTACTAATATACTTTATTATTCATAGTTCTTTAACTTGATAGTGAAAAACAGACAAAACAGTAATCAAGAAAATACAACGGTTTAAATACTATTTTCTAGCAAGTTTAAGAAATTTGACATAAAAATAAGAGACAGGAGATTTTGTCACTTGAAAAAGTTCGAAAACTTATGATGTTATACGGTGTTCTTATAGTGTTGGTGTTTTGTGGTGTTTTCAATAAAGTGTTCTACATAAAACACAAAGCTGTTTCCCGGGACTTTTATTAATGCAAACAGAGGCACACTATACATCAAGAATTAAATAAGAAAATAGAACCCTTAACATATCTCAGCTAGAAGGTGTTCGAAGGACCTACAAAAAAAAAGTCCTAAAACAGACCTACAACATTGATCTACATTTTAATAAATAGCAATCCAAAACTTCAGTTTTTCCTCATGCAAAAGAAATTTTGCATGAAAATAGGTTAGCTCACACTTTCACTTATCCCATAAGTACCCATTATTAAATTAAATAATTTAACTGTTAATTGTATTGCCAATTGTTACAACATTCGTTAACAATTACAATATGAGTAATTATTAATCGAATTAACCAGTCAATAAACTGAATTTTCGAAAAAGACTTCCAAAATCTAAAATTACTATCTATTGTGATAGACCCATACTGCCGAAAATTTAATAGAAATATAAGAGCTCCTTTTTCGCAACATCAGATTTCTTAAAATCAGAGTCCTATAAACCAAAAGCTAAAACCAAATCCAGACATTTCTACTTACCACTGATATTTACTAATCCTTCGTAAAATGGTTAAAAAACGCAACCACAGGAAAAGGGAACATAATCTGCGTGGTCAAGGTAAAACAGTATGGATAATTTCTAGAAACACTAAAAACACTAATCTTGTGATTTTCCCACCACATTTTAGTAAATTAGGCCATGGAGCATGAAACTCTGCTGACATTTTAGGAAGTCGGAAACAAAGAGAAAGTTTTAGTATAAGGATCAAGAACTGCCACTGTACAGCATGATCTTAAAATCATATTCCATATTTGGTATACGTAAATAAAGGATTTTTGGAGCTGATAAAAGACTAGACACTTTGAAAATATGACTAGAACATTCATGAATTCAAGAGGAAAAATAATCATTTCCAGAATTTCTTGTTTAGCAGTTACTGAAATCCTGATGTACACTCTGAAAACCATAAATCAGATGCACATACCTGTGTATCTGATTAATGTCAAGGCGAATTAGACAACTGAACAACAGCATTCTCTATTCATCAGCATTTTCCTGCACCATATTTATCCTTATTTACATTTTTGTTACTATCCTAACATATGATTTGATTTTACGAATCACCCCATTGCAAATAGTAGTTGTACTAACTACATTTAGAAATGTTACTTATGTTTATTGAATGAAGGAATGTTTCATGATCAGATTTCAAAATCTACTTGATTGAAAGGGTAATAAAGTTTTGCTTGCTTCAAATCCATATATTCCTGAAGCATCTGCTTTCTTAGCTGCAATTTCACTTTAGCAAGGAGGAAATGAAGTGGTAATACTCTTGAAAGTTTCTCACTGGTAAAACTACCAGTCTTGATGAAAAATTCTTAAAAATGACATGTTAGAAAACAGGTCGTTGTAACACGTTGGAGAGCAGAAAGATTAAAATGAAAAATAAATAAATGGTATAAAATGAAGCTTTAAAGCAAGGATGTCGAAACAGTTTCTCGAGTATTAAAAAAAAAGGGATAATTTTTTCCATAAGGATAATTTTTGAATAATCCTGTTCTAAAGCTTTTCTGGAAGTCAAGCTCAAACAGTCCCAAGATTATCAAGCATTTCGGACTCTAAGAAATTCCATGAAAAAGAGTCACATGCGTGCATTAGCAAGATAAAATCGATAAGGATACGAAGGGTAGAATAAGATGTAAGATAAAGCTGTATCCCAAAAAATACCGCATAACAGATATTTCAGATCAGTTACCATTCTACTAAAAATACGGACAATTTCGATGTGCAAGATAATTGCTAACGCAAAATTGATAATCAAATTAACAAAAGAGGATTTAAATTGTAAGCAAATACAAATTAGACATATTGTAAAAAATAAGCCTTGGTAGTTCGAAGAATTCTGTCAGCAAATATACATGCTGTAATAGGAAGAAATAAATAAACGAACATGTGAAGTAGGCTCTTTAGAGGGTGCATCCAAAAGATCACTGATTGTTGCACCGTTGGCCAATGCCGCTTCCGCATCCTCCAACCATTCTTTGAGTAATGGCCGTAATTTGCACATGTTTTTGAAGGATAAATTTAGTGCTTCGAAGCGAGATATAGTTGTTTGCGAAAAGTCAGTACCATAACGGCGTCCAAGGGCAAGACCAACATCACCTTGCGTGAAACCTACAAAAGCCAAATCCAACGATTTTTAATATCTTGCAAAATTCGGTCTAAGAAACAACAGTAGAATTATAAATTATTGAAAAAGTAATCATAAATCCTCATTTTCTGCTGAGATAATCTCATCAGTTTTTGCTTTCATGAAGATGAATAATGCCAAATCTCAGATTGGTCGTAACTTTCAAAAAAATTACTTATTGCCGACAATCCATCAAACTGATATCATAAATCTTACCAAATTTAATGCGCTGCTTTTTGAACGTTTGCGCAAAATTTTCCAGCTCATCTAGATCGATCTTTTCTTCTTTAGTAATCGCACGTGCTGCACTGCTCAGAGTCTGGAATTAGTGTATCGATAAAAATGCGAAATTTGCAGAATGAACTTGTATCGCCGAAAATTCACCTCTAAAAGCCATGTTGTCCCGAAAATTTCATTTTACTTACGATATGGTGAATATTGGTAACAGAAGCATCAAAAAAAAAAAAAAAAATCGACATGGCCTATTCAGAATAATATGGAAAAACGAAACCTCTTCATTTGCTCGCCTTTTCACGTTTAATTTTACATCACTGATTTTGCACCTCACTGCTTTATTTGGTTGGCGTTTTACATCACCCAACTGCAACGAATGTAAATAGCTAATATTATATTATAATAAAGGGGATTTACAGATGTTCGTTTCCGGAAATTTCCTGCATTCCTTTACAGGTCATAAGGCAATAAGTTGGTAAGGATAGAAGGGTTAACAAAAAAGCATTTCATCTGAAAAAATAGAAGACTTTTCATTCCTTTTCAAAAAAGAGAAACATAATTACAAGAATAGAAGTAGAGGGAAATGACGCATAATTAATCAAGAATTCTCGAAAATGACCAACGTTCAACATATTAACAACATTTTCGCTAGCAGATGCTGCTCTACCATTCAGTGAAGAATGATTCCCTAAACGCTGATCGTGTTTTTTGCTGATTCCATCATCATCATCATTGAAAAAGATGTTTGGGGCACTAGTAGCAATTATTTCTGCTGTAGCAGACGTTGATGGAATTGCAGATAATTTTGGCTTATGGCTGCTCATCACATCTACCGCTGTTGCATCACTACCGTTCGTCGATGTGATCCCTGTAATTTCATTCTTACTTTTTTTTTTTTTTCTTTTGAAATTTAGATGTTCGTTTCACCAAAAAGTAAATAAGTCTTAACTTATTTGTATAATGGATGAATTGTTGGCACTTCTTGTATCTTCTTTTATATGCCCATGAATTCATATTTAGGCTCTCCAAAAAGGATTTTAGAAGTGGGAAAAAACCGTGCAGATTTTTTTAAAAAAAAAGAACCTAGCAGATCTCGTATCGTTCCTGCGGCTGTCGCAGCAGCAGCCGCTTCTAGGAGCAACATGTTTGCATTTTGCTGCTGATCAACATTCAGTAAACCTACAACATTGTCAAAAACTTGCAAATAAGGTGGATTCAAAAGGTTCCAAATTAATAGATAAAATTGAGATTAAACTTTCAAATAGAATTAAAGTGAATGAATTTCGAAAAGTGAAAAGCCAAATCAAGTTAATATGAAGAATTCAACATGCAGGAAAATAACAAACTAATGAATTTTAATAAACGTGCAAAAGAATCAAGCATGAGTATCAATTCTAAGCAGAAATGAAGAGGAATTTTTGAATAACAACGCATAACATTTATTGCTGTGGCGTCAAAAGCATTATATGTTGTTCTCCCATAAATCGTAGAAAGACCTATGAACATACAAGGAATACTATCCAATTTTTATTATGAAAACGGTGAAGATAATAAAAGAAGCTGAAAAGTGGGAAAACGAGGGAACACAAGGAAAAGGATAAACGAATCTGGTTGAGGTATTAGTCTCAAACCTATGTGTGCATTTTTATTTAAATGTTCCTATGATTTTGAAAGCGAGAAGGAATCCACCTGTCCTTACAACTTCCTCTTCTTTGAACGTAAGATCTTCTGAATAATAAGCATTCCTTTGGATATCTTCATTAATATAGTTTTTTCAGAACTTTTTTGCTCTTAAGTATTAATACAAACTATCTGTGATTGAAAATCACTTCTAAGAATGAAAGTTTACCGGGGAAGAAAGAATTATTATCACAACCGCTCCATGAGTGATACATTGTTGTAACTGTTCAACCGCTAATTTACGCTAACAATACAAAAATTGCAAAATTACAGTCCCAACTGCGCTCATTGACATAAGTTTTGGGCAAAAATTTGCATTTCAACAACCGCCTCATGAATGGTACATTGCTGTAATTATTCAACCACCAATTTACGCTAACAATACACAAATTGCAAGATTGCAGTTCCAACTGCATTCATTGATATAAGCTGTGGGGAAAAATTTGCATCTCATCAAGTTTTGAATTAGAAAAAAAAAGATACGCAGTCGCGAAACTGTCTTTTATCAGATAAGTTGGCAAAGAAACAATCATCATGCATTCGTTACCTGCCCTAGCGCGAAACAGTGTGCATATCATACGCGTTATGTTGCCCAGCCTGACCAAAATTCAACACTTTAAGCGAGCAGTTACGAAGTTCTTTCTTGCAACAGTACACCCGTCGAAAGCCAGCTCCATTAGCTAACTAGAAATCTTAACTACTCCAATGTAATTTAATTTAACTTTTCTCCATAGTAAGAATTTTTATAGACCGTTGGTGAGTAGTAAAAGCTCTATTATCACTAACGGTTGTTAGTGATATTTATCCAGTTACATTCACCAAATTCTCGTACACGATAACAAGAACATCTCAGTTAATATAGCTACTATGCAAATAACAAACATATTTTAGCTCTCATTTAAAAATTCGAGTTTGTAGGTGGAGTGATAATTGCATGCGAATAAAGATAAAGCACCAGAAGGAAAAGCAGTTAAAATTACATACCATCGTTGGTACAAGATGGTGACGATTTGGTTATCAATTCAGCCGGGTGATTAAGTAGCAGAGTTCCACATGCGGGTAACATAGCTTCGTTTGCTGAAGTGAGTGGTAGTGGGATAAGCGATTTTAATGTTTCATACTGTGGAGAGAAAGTTTCACAAACATCCACGAATTCCGCCGGTTCTGGCACCAATTCAGGAGCAACAGGTTCAGCCAGATCGAAGGCTATTTTCAGATGCAATGGATCCGTTGATGATATAGCCGTTGAATGAGCATCATTAATAAGTATCTCGTGTTTCACGGATGTAGTTGTACTGCTCGGTGATAAACTAGCTGTTTTAAATAACACAGTCATAAGGCTCTATAATATTTTACAAAACGATTTACAATTTTAACGATTCACGCATCCACTACTGTTTGAAAACCAATCCAGCACTATTCGTAAAAGCCAGTCAATACCCAGAAGAATAAGTGCCGTTTCCAAACTTGCGTTCCACTAAACGCAGTTAATTAAAGAATGAGACCGACAGTCACTATGATTCATTGAGATATGGCAAGGGTCGAATAGGAAACATGCAATTCGCAGAATGGATATTTCTAAAGTTCATGCAATTACCCTTGACTGATATAAGCATATGTGCAAAACTACTAATACCATAGTAATCAGTCGAATGTTGAGAAGTGATGAGGAAGCATGCGTTCCGCAACATAATTAATTTCAAGCGATGTCTAAGTGTGATAGCAAAAACAAAAGATTACAACAACATGAAGCGAAATGTAATTTGAGAGTCAGAAATAGCGATAATAACTACACAGGCAAAAACATGCTCATCAATAGAAATATTTGTAGTTCACATAAGAATATTAAATTAAACATACTGTCAGTAAGAGTGGAGGTGCATGGAACGCCTAAAGAAGGTGATAAACCAGCAGTTGAGAGAGATGCAAGCATTTCCGGAGTGATGAAAGCATTTGCTCCATCCGTCCCGGCAGCTACAAATATTTTTTGATAAAATGTCGAAGAACTTTATTTTACTGGAGTTTTTGCTGAGCATTACTAAACTTAGAAAATATCTGAAACTAGGAATGTGCAACACTATACAGCTGTCGCTTTCGCTTTTGTAAAGCGGTCTGAAAATTTCAGATCCCGGTCCTAACCGAAATAATAAATCTTTATATATTATATTTCGGTCACACTACATCTACATTTGATCAAAATAAAGCAAAACGGGATCACAAACGAAAATTCAGCGTATGAAGATATAGTTTCGAGGATGCACTACCGAATGCTAATAACAACTTGAAATAAAAAGAAAAAAAGGAAACTTCAGCCTGGAAATTTTACCTGCGTTAGCCCAAAGAAAACTGTTCACTGCAGCATTTAAAATCAAGACATCATTCAGATTTGATATGCCAGAACCATTCCGTTGATCCATAAATTGTTCAGAAAGCTTGCAGATTTTCGCATCCGTTGTTTTTTGATATTTATTTGTTCTGGAAAAACCATGAGGAAAAACTCGAAAACAAAAACTAGAACAATGATAGAACCACAAGTCCTTACGCAAACAAGTATCCCTAGACATTCAACTCCTCGAGTTTTCTTCTTTCTAGCATGGAGATTATCTTTTACGTCTTCACCATACCTCGAAAATGAGTTATTATCAAATTGAAGTCAAGTAAATAAAGTAGTTAATACATCTTAGCAGGAACAAGATAACTAAACAGTAAGATGTTAGTTAGTAGTGCAATCAAGAAAAACATAACGGAAGAATATTCAGATTGCTTGCGATCTATTTAGGAAATGTGCAATGAAGGAGAAACAGACAAATTCATCTTTGTAAATATGTAAAAAATTGGAGGACAATTTATGAATGTTTATGACTAGCGCATCATATCTCCTGAATGTTATTTTTGTATGACCACACACCATGCACACTTCCTTTCTTCGCGACTCCCTCACTGTTAAACACAAGCAAATTGACGAAACAAAGCACCTGTCCACCGAACCATCGGTTTGTGAAGGTGAGTTCTCGGTAATCTGTATATCCACAGCCCCAGTAGGAGCCCTTGATGAACTGATGCTACGTTCAGTAGAATCCATATAGTTAATTGTATCAGTGACAAATGATTCCACATTTTGTTGCTTTCCATTAATATCCTCTAATGATGATAAGCTGTTTGATCGTGTGTCTATCATCAATGCATCGGAAGTAGAAGAGATCGACGAAGTTTCCCAATGTTCCGCTTTAGTTTCACCGTTTAGGAACTCGCTATCATAATGAAAACTAAAAGATGTTAGTAGTGCATATATACATATAAGACGGAATATGCAGAACGCAGATTATCTTGTGCGAAGATGTTACTTTTAATTACAGTACCCTCAGAGGTCAGTTTAGGCGTAATAATGTACTGCTACTACGATATGAAATAAATGATTATGAAATGATTATGAAATAATTACTTCTTCATAAAAGATACGTAGGGAAAATTGCTTTTAGCTATTCCACTATTTATTTTATTACCTCATATAGCTTCTCTACCCAATTTTTTTAATTCTTTAACGAACCTTTTCTCTCCCTGCTGAATTTTTTTTGCATTTGCACTCTGCTTAGAGCTATTGGGTCACTTTGTAATACGAATTCCTCACTATTATACGGTAACAGTTTTTGATTCAGAAATTTGTACAAAAGCAAAATGAATTTTTCCCGAGCAAAACATAATTAGGCGTTACTAACAAACATAAATCTGCAACCTACAGACAGTTACAAAAGGCAAATTTCGAAGCAGAACAGCTAGAAAACGAAGAAGCAGATGTCTTGTCACGACATACATATTCGCTGCATTTGTCGCACCACAGAAGTTTGGAGGCACGCATTTCTCTGTCGTTGATAACAATCGTTGTAAATCGGTGTTACTCTTACAGAAATCAGTTGATCCTGCTGTCTTTCCTTTCATGTTGTTATTCACTGCAATACTAAAATATTACCGCAGAAATTTCCCGTTATTAATTATTGCATAAATACTAGTTTATAGTTCAAGCCGGGTTTCTAAGTCATCAAAAATTATTGAACCTAGACCAAATCTGCAATCCCTGTTGATAACAGTATTTCTCGATGAACAAACTGAATCTTCCGTGGGAGCAGTATCATCATCAACAGCTTCACCCGTTTCAGCACTTATGATCACGGGCTAAAATAAGAAGAGGCTGTAAGTTAACTTGAACAAAGTAATAAAAGAAGTGAGAAGACTTGCAACAATTAACTAAATGTTTCACCTCTTGCATAGTGCTCGGCCGCTTCTTTGGTAAAGCTGGTTTGCGTTTGCACGATGATCTAGAGGCGTTGTAATCCGCTGAAATAAATGAATCATTTAAACAGTACTCGAATTCTGGTAAATCTCCAAAATGTGCAAATTCAAATGAATTTCACAATACCTAGTACTTGTCGATTCTATAAAACAATGCAAACTATAAAAACCACTTTGCGCAAAAGTGCGGTGTTAAAATTTATATCAAGAGATTGAGTAAAACACTAAACCAGAAATGGGTTCTGGGAGGTCTGGGAAGATTACTTGTTTTTGGTGAATTAGAACAGATCAAATTTATACTGAAAACAAAAAAAGGAAAAAAGGATTGTCTAATTCTGGAAAACCAATTACTATGAATAAAAGGAAATCTGTGCTCATCAGAGTGATTATCGTTCAGTACAAAAGTATCTCAGAGTGATAGCAGAAATGATCTGGGATTCGAACCCTTACTGACTAATGGTTGTCGTCGATCGAGAAGGCTGTTTGATGATAAATTTCTGCAATTTAGAGCCGTACTCGTGCTTGCTTCAACATCAGACGCATCAGCCACCAACGTTTCCGCACTTGCTTTTTTGAATCCACCCTCCTGTCGTTTACAAGCTGTAACCTGCAAAAAATTTCAGTACTAAGATTAAGTTGAAATTAGATCAACTGAGGCTCCTTAAAAGCACAAAGAGATCTCACGACAGTTAACCAAACATCCCTTCTAAAACGTGTTACGTTGAGACATAAATAAATTGTGACACCAATAAGCAGAACAGGCCACAAACAACAGGCAACATCGTCTCAGTTTGCAACTATGCGAAACTAATTTAGATATGAGGAAGAGCAGTATGACTCGGAGAGTACGGTAATACGTCCTGCAAGGAGTCAATCCTGAGGAGATTTTTACGGAGTCATCCGGAAAGGGAACTTTCAGTCTTCCAGTTGTTGATATTATAAGGAACTTGCACAGCAATGTGCCATTTGATGGAAATCCATTAAAATGAGATGGAGAAACAAAGAAAATGAGTGGGAAGAAGAGTGTGAAGGACACTCTCCTAACTTATCCTGAATTACAGCTTTCCGGTCCTTAGTTCGTCTCGAATGTAAGTAATCCCCTACCGAGTTCCTTGCACTCGAATGAAGTCTCACTCCCTTCACAACATTAGCTCACTTAAATACACTTCATTGATCCTTCCGGACAGTTTCGTCAGCAACTGGCTCTCTTTTCACAAAGTTAATTACACGATTTGGTTGAAAATCAGGAGTGATATAAGAAAAATGATAAGGAATAACAGGTCAAACCTGGAATGAGATGGTTCCATCAGCTGGCACATCATTTGACATGTTTGCAATGTTCTTTGATATGTCTGAAAGAGATATGATGACAATGAGAAGGTCAGAGGGGAAGTATGAAATGGGAATTTCGAAAAAATGGATTTTCATTCCATATAATTTGCTGCGGAAGTAATTAAACGAAAGTAATTAAATTTCCCCAAGTAATTAAACCTTTGTAATCTAAAAATAAACAAATGCGTGAAGCAGTGAATTAGTTGGATGATAATGGAACGCTGGCAAGGAAGAAAGAAACGATTCTACTAAATCCTGGCTTCGAGTTGAAACCTTGATGTCTTTGGAAATGACAGGATGACAACATTCTTAATAGATCGCATCAAAGCTTCTGCAAGCAAAATTCGCGGCAGCTAGGATTCCATCTTAAATCGCTCGCTGATCTTTTATCCACTAAAGGGATGTTGCAGGATCCGTAGAAATTTTTAAGCACTGTTTGTTCCTGATAATACCAGTGTATTAAGGAGAAAAGGCAAAAAATCTTTGCATATTCGACTAGGATGTATCACCGTTCTGTAGTACTGTCGAAGACAAAGCAGTGTTAAAGCGCGGAAGGACGGTCTTTTCGCCCCTTCTCTCTACCTTTATCCAGAACCCTTCCATCTTTCCAGCCTCCTGATAAATTGCCTATCACAAGATTGCATTAGGCAATAACAGTTGTAAAATTTCGAACGAAGTGTCACTACAAAATGATACCATCCCTATAGTACAATGGAACTCGGATGAAGCACGATTTATTCATTAAATGACAATTTAAATCCATGATTAGAAATACTGAGATTACACGAGTAATCAAAACATACCTTCCATAGTTCTTCCAGTATTTGCATTTGTGGGTTCATTTCTAGAATTGTTGTCTCGTGAAGTACATTTAATAAACATACTTGACATTTTCTGGCCAAAAATTCGATGGATTTGACAGCTTCCCGTAGATGTTTACATCCAGTTTTTGTTTCCCAATCAAGAATATACAAGCAGTTACTTTTTGTACGGGATCACTAACTGTAATCGGGTATATATCCATATCAGAAATTGAATACTCCAAAAGATGCGCACATTAATGCGTTCAATTTCAATTTCAACATTTATTTCACTTCTCAATCGTCAAATTTCTCCGTTTCTCCTAATTCCCTTTACTTAACTTTTTCCTGATAGCTTAATTTTCTTTATTTTACCATTACCCATTACCCCAACAATACTAGACAAGAGTCTTCCTGAGTTAGCAGCTGAAAATTCTTTCACTTTCATTTTACTTATAGAGCTGCTAAGCAAAATTCAAAAAATCATTAAACTAATCATACTCTCTACTTAGACACATGTAGTAAACAACAACGAAATGATGGATGATGAAACTTGTATAAGCTAATAACTTTCAGGAAATCTATGCGGATGATAGAATAAAATGCAAGGAAATACGAAATGCGAATGGATACAATTTGCGCCAATTCGTAAATGGACTGGCGACTCCTAAATTTGCTATCAAATTATGAAGGTCAGATACAAACTGTCATATTTCTTGCATGAAAGAATTATGATATGACACTTTCTGACTCTTTACATTGTATTTTCATTTCTAAGTGGTGACAAAAGCATGACAAAACAATTGCGGGTGTTCTAGAAATCACCATATAACAACGGTACTGCTAGAATTAGTTCATATTTTTAGAATATCGATCATTATTTTATAATCAAACATAAGCATATTTTAAATTATAACATATGAAGTCCACAACTAACCTATGAATGGTCAACTTAAGGACAATGAAATCCAAAGTAAAAATGTGGAAAATCCGGTAAAAAGTACAACACAAACTGATATGTTCAGAATAAGAAACAAATTAAAATTAATTGATTACTTGCTGTTCGTTATAAAACATTTTTGTTCTCCCTATTCTTATACTTACTATTATCCAAGTCAATTTGTAATGGTTGCAAGGTACTGCTTATACTTTGATTATTTTGGAGAAAGATGTTAAGCTTTGAGATGAAATAACACTATATATCGGTTAATTTCAGGTCATTGTAACGAAGAACATTTATATTGATGTATAGTTTAAAGTGGAATGAAAATAAAACAAATGTTATTGTTACATGTATGCAAATGCATTTGATATTGATAATGAAGAGGATCTAAACTGAATATCTGTCTATCTGTATATATTATATATTTATTCATTTATATATAAATGGGAAGTGGGGTGTATGGGATAAGTGTATGTACAAGTTTATTTCCCGCAGAAAGAATGAAATATGCATAAAATTGATTCTGCCCCGTTCTATTCAAAAAAAAAAAAAAAAAACATTATTACGCATATCTATGGAAAGGGAAATTCATCGCTGTAGTCGTTGTCGCTCTCTTTTGGTTTTATTGGACAAAGCTTAAAGAGAAAAGAGTGGAAAGGAGAAATGAAGGGAATAAGGAAAAGAGGTCCACTGATCGAACATTAGCATATATAAGCTTAGGCTATTGCTTGTAATACTATCATATAATGCTACGATGGTAACTAGGCAGAGCTTGAATAATGATAACCAATCTTGTAATATCATGCATGCAACAATGCAGGACAAATAACTACTCAAAGTACTGTAGTGTCCCCAACATAAATCTTTTCTGCGATAACAGTTATCAAATCAATCCGATGTAGCCAGTAGGAAATGGCTTACTGCTTCTGGTAATGAACGAACCGGGAAGTGTGCACATTGCTCCAAAATTGAAAGCCATCTGGCATTTGATATTTAAGCATTGCATACCAATCGATGGTCGCATGAAGTCCTGCACTGTTTTTCTTTCTTGACAACATGATAATTAATTTCAATTAATTTGAGACATTATTGAAAAAATAAGATTGAAATGCTTCAAAATGCCTAATTATACCTCAAGAATATTCCATTTTGTCGTATGATCAACTATTAGCAATCAATAAAATGTTGAAGCTATATATCTTGTGAATAAAAATATAATACTGGCAAGTGGGAAAATCTAAATAATATCAGGTATAAGCTAAAGGTGGACGAGTATTGTCACGTAAGCTTAGATGTTTAAATGTGTCTAATAAATAGGTAGCAAAATGCACTTTATGCAAACAAATAGTAGAGTAGTTAAGGAGTAAAATAGCTGAGGAGGTGATTGTGGAAAAAATGAAGCGATGAGCATAGTTGTTGGGAGTGGATGAAGTAATAAAGCGGAATTAACGTTCAAACATTCTTCTCTCGACTTTTCCAAATGGCATCTCTATCACCATTATCATCATTATTTTACATTTGACTGTCGCCCTCTCTAAAAGATAAACGACTCTCACACTATATATAAATATAAATATATACGTGATACATGTAGACACAACTTAGTCCTAAGCAAAAGTGCAGCTTTTTTTCCTTCCTATAATTTATGGGACATATGTACATCTCTGCTTGATGCCTTACAACTCTTACTACTTTCATTAATTCCAAAATTTCTAATTTTAAAAGAAGTTTGAAATGGAAGTTATGCAAATTATATCTGTAACTTTTTCATCATTGTTGAAATAATGATAATGATTGATAATGATTTCTTTTACCTTATCGTGATAATTATTTTGAATAGTAATTGTAACGGTAATGATAGATGCTACCAAGGATTACAACCAATGGAGATGATACTAGCGACAATGACGCTTAAAAGAAAAATTTAATTCTTTATGTAGAATATATGCAGTTACGCTTAAGGCAGTATAGCAGTCGATGTATGTATGTATATGTATGTGTGTGTGTGTGTGTGTGTGTGTGTGTGTGTGTGTGTGTCTGTGTGCATATATTATGATATATTATATTGCCCGATGTGTACACAAATTCATATTCTGGAGCTACTTCCAAAATTACACATAGGCGCAGATGAGAGGCAATTGAAAGGCATTCTTTGTTAATCAGGGCGCAAAAAAAGCTCGTAAATAGTGGTTTACGTGAAAGATGACGTCCTTGCATCCAGGTAGATAGGTAGGTACAAAATGAATAATCATCTTATAAACTGTCCCTTCTATTGCATTGTTACTATCCTTAAAATTGATTGGTATCATATCTTAATTTATAATCTGTGCCATGCTCATTGGAATTCTTAACTGAAATTAATCCTTCCTAGGAAACAACAAATTTCAAAATTCTTCATCAGTTTTTCTTCAATTAAATAATGAATTTCATTTTAAATAGTAATAAGGGGGAACTAACGGAAGGTTGCATACCCTTTAATATAAACACATCTTTATGTGTATCAATAGAAATTAAAATGAAATAGTATTACGATAGTTGATCAGAATTAGGTAAATTTTAAACGATAGAGGACGAACGAAGTGATATGCGCAATTTTGTATACACCGGTGTTGTGTCAGGTATTCATGTGTGCTGATGTCGTCGGTATGCATGCATGTGTATGTCTATATGGATTTGTGTATGTATGTGTGCATGTGTATGTATGTGTATGTGTGTTTGTATATTGTATGTGTGTGTGTGTATGTGTGTCTTTTGCGATTCAGTGTAAACCTGAAATAAGATGAAATGTAAAATGCATACATTTTATGCATAGAAGTTAGTGATTTGTGATAGATTTAGTGAATTGCATCGTTGATGTATGATGTGATGTGATTCTATGATGACAACGGGAAGAAGTCGAAATTCGAATCCCTCTCTCCAACCCCTGCTCTTCTTTCTCCCTCTCCGTAATCGCTACAACTCCTCGTTATCGTCTCAATTGAATTTTTGACCTTAATTACTTCTGACCAACTGCGTACCGCAATTGGAAATTTTGGAATGATAGTACACAATATATGGAAACCACGAATTGATGTACTGATTTGATAGAGTATCTGGATAGTACCATTAAGCAAAGGGAACAGATCGGTTGAGCAATATGTCGATAAATAGAGAAACATAAAAAAGTAGGCAAACTAACAGACAGGCACATAAGGGCAACAAATTTAGTTGTGGTCACTAGGGCAGGCGCATTTATTACGATGTCATAAGATTCATAAAACCTGATTAATATTTCTGAATAGGTCAATGAGGCGATGATGTCTGGGTGATAATGAAAGGGCACATATAGCATTTAATTATTTCATTTCAACGACTTCGATTATTTTCCATAAATGTTTAAAATCAATATGGAAATGATAACGATGATTGTAAAATTTCAAGTAATTTGTATTTGGTATTACAAGATAAAATATACATAATATCATTTGAACTAGAAATGATTATCTGAATTTCGTCGTCTGTCATGCGAAATGAACGAAAAATATTTGGAAACATACGCGAATCAAAGATGAAAGCTAATTTGAAGTCTGTCTTTCAATGACACTGTAATGCAACAAAGTTCAGCTCAAATACTCTTTGATTATGGGATTTGTTTACTTTCTCCTTTCACTGTTGTACGAGAACAAATCGAGCAACACAAAAAAAAAATTTACGTAACTTTCATCTATTGAAATTTGAAAATCGATCAATAAATTCATTAACAGTACTTAAATATGCCTAGATGCAAGTGTATTGATGACTGATGAAATATCTGTTATACAGCGATAAAAAGAAACATTTAGAAAAATGAATTCGTTAAAAAACAAAAGTTAAAAGAAGCGGAGTTGTAGAACTTCTAGGCAGCTGCAAACATGCATGCTCTCTGTCTTTCTGTGCATCTTCATTCTACCTTATCTCTACTCAAGTAATATTTACTTAAAAATAAATAGTGATGGAAAGTATCAATGTGTTACGCATCAAACAACAACAATAACAATGATGATAACGTAGGACTGGTGTTGATGACAACACTAACATTACACATTTTTGAGACAAAAAGTGTTATCATAATGAGTTCGAGCAGAGGTTCGGATGTGATGACTATTCCTATATCATTGTATCATATCATATCACTCATGGATTCATTGAAGATCGATTGATTGCAAACGTCTCCCTCAAATACTAATTAATTACTGGTGCCATCCGAAGTAGTATCATCGTATCGCAGTGATAATGACATAATATTATAAATACATTTTTCGATCAAACGAGTTAGTTAATTTCTATGGAAAGACACACTCGTACATGCGCACCGCGCTGCTATAATTATAAATAATACTTCCACGCGCCTAAATATGCATATTGTTTTGTCTGTCTGTCTGTTTATTTCTATTGTGTATGTATGTGTGTGTATGTGTGTGTGTGTATGTATGTGTGTGTATGTGTGTGTGTGTGTGTGTGTGTGTGTGTGTGTGTGTGTGTGTGTGTGTGTGTGTGTGTGTGTGTGTGTGTGTGTGTGTGTGT